GGGAAAACCGTGTAGTTGGACATGCACTCTGGAATTTAAGAAGGCTGATTTCAAAAAGTTTAAGGAACTATTAGGTAAGATCCCATGATCTCAAATACTCAAAGAGAAGGGAGTGCAAGGTGGATGGGGGTTTCTTAAAGCTGATATATTGAAGATACAAAGGCAGACAATTCCAACAAGAAAGAAAAAATGGGAGGCGGTGACTACACTATTATAGCTTTTGCTATTTTTATCTTTTTATTTATTTGTGATTTGTATTTTGTTTTATTAATTGTAAGTTTCCTTGATAATATTCTGTGTTGGGAGGTTATTAATTATTAAATTGTTAAAAAAAATCTAAGCATTTGAGGAGGGAAATGTCATTTAAGGATGATAATCTTTATTTGCTTCAACTGAAGTTGCCATGGAGTGATTCTTAGTTGGCTTTGTAAGCATGGCATGAAGAACCTTTGGCCCTCCAGATATTACTGAACCACAACACCCATAATCCCCGACAATTGACCATGCTTGCTGGGGCTGATGGGAGTTGTATTTCAGTCAATGGATCCTCACACCTGCTGCAAGCAATTAACAGCAGTTTGAATTTGTCCATTATCTTTTATCTTTATTAATTCTGATTCCTTTGTCTGCTGTGGCATTAAATCTATATCAGGGGTAGGAAACTGGAAGCTTGCCAGATGGTGTTAGACTCCAGCTCCTATCAGCTCTAGCTAATGCTCAGTTGACTGAATCATGCCCCAAATATGTTGAAAGCACATACTCGGCTTTCAAATGTTAAAACAAAGAATAGCAGAAGGAGCTCAAAATTACAACATTTACCAGCTTCTCTTTTAGGCAAATCCAGTTGTCTTGCAAAATTCACACTAGGGTGCTGTCATTGGTGATCATGCCCAGCATGGCCTCTTCTGACTTCTAATGGATATCCAAAGGCTTTTCCTGCCCTGCTTCCAGAAATCCTTTTAACAGCAGGTGCCAGAGACTGAACCCTGGGGCTCTGCACATGCAAAGTAGCATACTTTTCCGTGTATAAGACATATGTTTTTTTTATTCCAAAATCATGTTCAAAATCAGGGGTCGTCTTATACATGGGTGGTGCATTGTGGGGCAGTGGGGCAGGTTGCTGCTGTGAGTTGTAGATTGTTATTGGTGGCAGCTGCAAGGGCTGTTGTTGATTGGCTGTCGTTGCAGCAATAGTGCGGTCGATTTGCTGCTTCTTTGTTTTTTTAGTGATGGGATAGAGGGTAGGTTGCTCTGGCAACATGTGTGAGTGTTTTTTGGCCTTTCCTCCTAAAAAAGCTCAACAATTCTTGTGTCCCCCCCCCCCAAAGCTCAACAACTATGGGCAAGCCTCCCCCCAAAAGCTCAACAACTTTGGGGAATCTCTCCCCCCAGTTTCTTAATTTTGAGTCCCCAAAAATAGGAGCGTGTTATACGTGGGGGTGTGTTATACACAGAAAAGTACGGTATATGTTTTCTGACTGAGTTTTTTCACCTGTCTCCTGACTGTGGTTGGCACGGTGAAAAGTGAGATTTGAACCCACCACCCAGTCAGTGCCACAACAGCAAAGTCTTGTGACCAAGCTACACCTTCTGAAAAAGCACAGCCTCTCATTCTCTTCTGGCAGAGGAAACACAGCTGGTGCTTGAAGCAGTGGCTGCAAAAGCAGCATACGGTGTTCAGCTGTTGACTATCTCTCAGAAAAGATTGTCCGTTGTTTCAACCAAAGCGGAACACAGATTGTAAAGGATCCAGGTAAATCAGCTTCAGCAGCTGAACTTCTAGCACGTTCTCGAGAATCTTGTCCAAGGATGGAGAACCAGAGGCTCCTGGAAAATGCTGTCTCTCTGCGTGTGTCTTACAATTTCCCCTTTTAATGGCATAGGAATTTATACCCACCATGCAAAGTAGCATCAATCACTTCAGACCAAGTCAGTCTTTCTGAATTAGCCCTGATTGGTTAGGATGGATAACATCAAGCCAGCTTGTCGTTGGTTGAACCTTTCCTGGAAGCCTTAATTTGCCATCCTTCATTGCCTCATGCAAAATGGATTGGGCAAAGTGCAAAGCATAGACTGGTTACAAGGAAACTTGGGAGGGTTGTGAAAGTGAAATCACGGTGAGTTCTTTCTCGAGTTTCTAATCTAGCATTTGAAGGAGGTGTTGTGTCTACATGGTGTATCAACAGCTTGCACACTTCACCACTGATAAGATGCGCAGGTTTCTCCATTGCAAGTTACGTTGCAGAGAGAGAGAAAAAGGAATTATTTCCCTCTTCCTTTCCCTCTGTTTGCCTCGTCCTTACAGAGAAGACGGAGCATCTAATTCCTACAAAATAATAAATCACATCTGAGTTTGGCTTGAGTTCTTCTAAACTTGCTTTGTAAAAATCCTTGACCAGCAGAGGGCTTCTTTCCCTGGAAATGATCTTTCCTGATGGAGAGTCTGAGGAAAAGGTGTACATGCATGGTAACATTTCTCTCCCTATCTCTTTTTGGTTTTCATGCCCTTTGATCACTGGTTAACATTTCTCAATATGAAGGGCGGGGAACCTGTGGCCCTCCAGATGTTGGATTCCCATCTCCCACCAACACCCAGTCAGCATGGCCGGTTATCAAGGATTATGAGATTTGTAGTCCTGCAACCTCATGAAGGCTACAGCTTCCCCATCCCTGCTCAAAGCTATGGGATTAGGCCTAATGGAGCACAAAAATCAGAATATTGTGATGCAATGTTCAGTGTTGCTGATGTACCTTCATTTGCCATGACCTTTCTGTATGGCCTATGAACTATGGATAATTCTGTTCCTAACAAGGTGATGTTTGATCTATCATACTTTAGAGCTTTCAAAGATCAGCACAGAATACATGAAAACTTTTCACAGTTGGCCCTAAGCTTTGTCTAATAGGATAAAAACCCTAGAGTTGTTACCCTGCACATTCAAGTTGTAAGGAGTCAGTGTGTTCTATCAGGTTTAAGTATGATGTTTGGGAGACTGGGATTCAAATAATGGTTGCCTTCTTTGAGTGACCTGGGAAAAGCCTTCTCTTTTGTCTGCAAAATGGGATTCTGAATTGCCAACTTCACAAGATCATTATGAGGGCAAATGTGCAGCAGTAATATAAAAGTTCTGCACGCTACATAAATGTTCCATCATCATGCAGCACTAGAATGTGTAAGTTTTTAATTAATACTTTTAATTAGTTTTGGAGAACATTTTTCTTTGCAATTATAGTAACAATGAGCTCCTTCTTTGTGTATTCCTTTATATCGGGTGCCACTTATCCGCAGGGCGAGCGTGTAGTCATGTAAATGCATCAGGGCAGCTACGCTGCAGTGCATATTCATGTCATTTTCAAGAACAAGCAATTTGTACTTCTGCCACTCTGCCGGTGAATAACATCGGACATTCTCACAGTGTGTGACAGAGATGGAGAGCAGTTTCCTAATGGCACATCACAAGACGGCCTGGTTATAGATGTGCTGGCTTTATTGATTTGGCACATGGGTGGACTCCGGCATTGCTATGGACCCCTACTGATTTCTAGAGTACTCCAGTTGGGCACAGCAGTTTGCCAGTATGTTATTAGTTTCCAGCTCAAAGGCTGAGAGCGCACTTCCATCATGTTCGTGAAGCTGCAAACATAGGGTTAAGATCTCTCATCTATTTAGCCCATTTGGTGTAGCATTCCATCTCTGGGGTCTACACTAACTCTACTTCGTTGGTGCTTTGGTTGTAAGAATACCTTTGTAAGGTACAGACAGAGTCCTTGCTTCTGTGCATTTGATGCATACACATGCACATTGCAGTAAGCAAACAGAGGGCAAACTTCAAACTGGAGGTTCAGAAAGCTGTTTGAAAGCCCTTTTGCAGACAGCCCTGAGGTTTATGGAGCAGTGCGAGGCTGTTTGCAAAAGAGCTTTCAAATAGCCCTGCGCTTTGAAGCCCCAACAGTTGGGGTTTCAAAGTGCAACATTGCCTGACATCATAGCCTTTCCATGTGGCTTTCCAGGGTTGGAAATAAGGATAAGGATCTGGCCACTAGTTAGGAAACTTTCCCCACCCCTGGGTGGTAGAGCATGGCTGTAGCCACCCATAGCGTTCAGCTAGGCTGTTAGTTTCCTTATAGGCACACAGTTTGCAGCTGGAAAAAACATACACACAATGCTATTTAATTTTTTGCATCTGAGTTAGAGTGTCACATGTGAAAGCCAGTTCTAACCTTTATTGACCTGATCAAAACCAAACAAGCTATAACCACAACCAAAGCGGAGGCTTGGGAAGGACTCTGGCACTTTCTGGCACTTTCACTTTTAACCTGTTTCCTTGTATCTCTCCCCCCCCCCCCCCCAATGATCTCAAGGTGAGTAGGTGATCCTATTTTGATGCATTTTTAAAAAGCACACCTACTCTATATTTGTCCCATCAATTCTGAGCAATTGCTATTTTCTTAGGGCAACTTTTTAAAAGGAAACATTTTTATCTCACCTAATCTCTGAAGAGCACAGGGTGGTGGACACGTAACTATCAAAGCCAAATGTACATTTTTGAATTTGGGCTAGTGAGGTGGTGGGTAGAACAATAGGTTTGGTGAAAAAGCCTGTTTATTGCAATTTTCCTTCCAGTCTGAAATTGATTTAATTTTAATGCAGCTCTTCTATCAACTTCCCAGATCTTAAATCCCACATGTGTTTGGAATAATTTATTCCTTTGGAATATATGAAATAATTTTCAAATTAATCATGCCACTGGCTGAGTAAATAAGGAACAACAATAGCATATGTATTAACGATGGTGTTGTCAAAGTTCAGCCAATAGCTAACACCCTAAGGAGTCAGTTCCAAGTTTATAAAACTAACTTACATTTTTAAAACAGACAAATGAATGTTAGCATGTTGGTGAGCTTTCCCCACTTGAGATGAAAGTGTTAAAAACTCAAGCTACCCCCAAGGAGAGAGCGACAAACGGTAGCAGCTAACATGTCATAGCCCGAGGAAGCCAGAGGAGCAGTCAGAATGTTTTGTAATAAAAGTGTAAAGCCGTTAAAATAGCTTCAGAAAGCTTTCTGTGATGTCCAAGGATGCAAAAGGATTGCCAGTTAGACGGAGCACCATGGATCTTGTGAATTACCATCTTCTTTTAGTGGAGTGTGGAGGGCAGGGTGGGGGAAAGATGGATAACAAAGTCGACAAGTAAATACATGCTACATAAATATGCATAAATCCATTACCATCTGCCATGTTGTCCAATTTGAGAAGGGTGTCTGCCACATAAATCAGTTTAAATCAGGTTTGTCTGGGGTGGTGGCTGAAGTGCTAGTAAATAATACACAGAGTACTGTTGTTTACTCCCCCCCCCCGGCAAACATGTATTTAGTCAAGATTTACTTTGTTGTTTACTCGCGAAAATGGAATCTGTGGGTTTCAATCATGAAAGTACGTTACCATGAATTGTTGTTGGCTAGCCATTTTGCTAAACAATCTAATATAATTTATACGGCATGTAGAAAATTATGATTGTAAATAATTGGCTTTTAAAGTGCTGCTTCTATGATTTGCATACCTGTTCTGTTCGATTCCCCCATTGCCATAATATTTTATAGCAGCCCATTAATACGTTGAGGAGCGTGTCTGGGCAGAATCCAAATAAATGAGTCATCTCCCTTGATACGTTGCTTTATATGTGTCGTAAGGAGAGCGGAAGAAGCACACATTTCTAAGTTCCAGTCCCAAACATTGTGGATACAGTCCGAAAGCCTGAATTTTCAGTTCAGTCCTTCAACAGCTTTCAGGACTATGTATGTTGTGGTTTTCTCAATTGCCTTATACCATGGGTAGGTAAACTAAGGCCCAGGGGCTGGATCTGGCCCAACTGCCTTCTAAATCCGGCCCGCGGACGGTCCGGGAATCAGCTTTTTTTTACATGAGTAGAATTTGTCCTTTTATTTAAAATGCACCTCTGGGTTATTTGTGGGCATAGGAATTTGTTCATTCCACCCCCCAAATATAGTCCACCCCCGCCCCACCCCAGGTCTGAGGGACAGTGGACCCGCCCCCTGCTGAAAAAGTTTGCTGACCCCTGCCTTAAACTTAGCTGGTCACTTAATAATCACCGCTTCCCAGGCAATCTGAATTCTGGAAAATAAAAAGAGCCTGTTGGAGCACATCTGTGGCCCGTCTAGTCCAACATCCTGTTGTCACAGTTGCCATCCAGATGCCTGGGGGATGCCCACAAGGAGGAGGACCCAAGCACAAGAGCCCTCTCCTCTCCTGAAGTTTCCAGCAACTGTATTCAGAAACATACTGCCTCTAACTGTGGAAGCAAAGCACAGTCATTAGGGCTAATAGCCAATGATAACCTTCCCCGCCTCTCAGCTGTGCAAGCTCTGCTGCCCCTTTGCCTCGTGTGAGCCAGAGTGACAGCGGGGCTTGGTTGACCAGGTGCTCCCCATTTCTGGGTACCCGGCACCATACACGTGCATGGTTGCATGCAAATAGAACACACATAAGTGGGGAGTTGCCTATACAGTGGTACCTCGGGTTAAGAACTTACCGTATTTTTTGCACCATAACACTCACTTTTTTCCTCCTAGAAAGTAAGGGGAAATGTCTGTGCGTGTTATGGAGGGAATGCCTACGGGTGGCATGCCTACGGATTTTCCTCCTCTAAAAACTACGTGCGTGTTATGGTCGGGTGCGTGTTATAGAGCGAAAAATACGGTAATTCGTTCTGGAGGTCCGTTCTTAACCTGAAACTGTTCTTAACCTGAGGTACCACTTTAGCTAATGGGGCCTCCTGCTGCCGCCGCCGCACAATTTCTGTTCTCATCCTGAGGTAAAGTTCTTAACCCGAGGTACTATTTCTGGGTTAGCGAAGTCTGTAACCTGAAGCGTTTGTAACCCGAGGTACCACTGTACTCCAAAACTCCAGATGACACCACTCAGCAGTCATATGTAGATGTTAAACTGCATGGGAGATAGAATTAAACCCACACTGAAGGCTCCATGGGGCCAAAGAGCACTCCTCAATCATCGCCCTATGGAAATGACCATCCAAGTTGGACTGGAACCACCGCAAAGCGGTGCCGCCAACACTGCTAACTCAGGACCGCCACTACATAAGGATGCCATGGTTGACAGTACTGAAAGCCACTGAGAGGTTGAGAATTAACAGGGACACAGACATAAGTCATCATAGGGTGACCAAAGCAAAACTGAGCATAAACCCTGACCGACATTGATCTAGAAAATAGTGTTTCCTCTGGGGAGAGCATTTCACAAGCATCTCCCTGTTGGACCACAAGGTGCCTACTCCTTATTTTAATGAAGCATAACTAGGTAACATGATGCACATTTTAAGGGAAACAGCATGATTTAAATTCACTAGGCTATATCTGACTTCCCAGTGTGCCATTTCCTGGGTTGGTATGAAAGATGTTCAGTTATATTTGTACAGTTATTGAATACTTTCTGATGTATTTAACAACCTGGATTTTATTTCTACTACTGTTGAAGACTTTTCTCTGTGATTTATTGCCTTATCTAGCATGCATTTGTTCCCTTGCGTAAGATCACCATTTGGAATACAGATTATAAAGTTAAGAGCTTTAATTTTCTGCCCCTCAATTTCTACATATATAAAATAAAGGCTTCTGATATTTAGCATAGCTCATAGTGATGTTGTAGATTATCATACGTACAGCACATTGAGAAGCCTAAGTAGATGGTGCTAGATGAGTGTGGAAATAATTGTCCATACTATGAATTTAATTTAGCAGAACTCAAGGGCATCTGAAGATGTTTCCTTGAGCTAATATGTGAAAAGAATAAAGCCCCCCTTATAAATTAGGTCATTTGTTATTATTTTATAGCTTGAATGGCAGGGAACAGGAACAAAAAAATTGCCCTTAAACCAATTTGAATGTTACTCAAGATAAATAAAAGGCTGAGGCAGTTGCTGACCGGCTCTTGACAAACAACTGAAGCCAAAAATGGCCATTGAGTTGTCGCTTAAGGACTTAATGGAGGAGATCGTTCAAATCAAAGAAACAGTAAACAAGGTAGATGGAATTTTACCCAGGTTCAAATTAAGATAGCCCAGATGAAAGTCAGTGTAAATGAAATTAAAGGGAAAGGGGAATGAAGTTGAAAGATCAGCTGTTATATGTGAAAGGATGAATTGCTTATTGAATCACGTTTCTAGAACAATCCTTGGAAGGCAAAGGGAACAGGAGTGGTGCAGAATTGAGTGAAAAATGTGGCCATCCGAATTCATTGAAAAGTGGAGTATAAACATAGGGATAAAGTAAAATATGCTACCCCTTAATAAGCTCAAAATGATAGGGTTGGTTCTGCATGAAAATGAACAGGAAATAGCTGATTTTGAAAGAGACAGTGCACAGAGCACATGCAGATCTTTATTACCTACAGATGGAAAGCAGCCCTGTGCCTAGTTATGCTTAAGCAGGTTCACTGAAATAAGTGGTAAGAGAATGTTTATATTGAAGACTGTAGACGAGAACCCCAGACTAAAGTCAAATGTATAAGGCTGCAGTCCCATAGACACACACCTGGGGAATAAATCCCACTAAACTCAATGGGACTTCCTTCTAAGTAGATGTGTATAGGATTGCGCTCTAATTTTGTTGAAATGCCAACAACTGGAATAGAGATCTTGGGTAAACTGGTTTTGCAAGGATTCCTATTCACCATATGTATATGGATCTCTTGAAATTGCCCCTGCATGGACATAGCATAGGCCAACGTGAACTGAAGTTCAAAGGTTAGGTCAGGGACTGGGAATCTTTTTCAGCCTGAGGACCAAATGCCAGTGGTGGATAGGGCCAAAGGCAAAAAGTAAGTGGAGCAACAGAAGTGACATTGTACAGTAATCTACATTGCAGCCACATGAAAGCCAGAGGTTCAGCTAAGTGCATGGATGGACATCTCTCCATCTTCCATTCAGGCAAGCAAGGACACATTCCAACTCTGCAAAAGCATTTGAGGAATGTGTGGGACATGGTGTGGCCTTCAGAGAGTCCCGAGGTTCAGACAGAGACCTGGAGGGTTACAGGTGAGTTTCCCCACCCCAGAGTTGCACCATAGCATTTTGTATTTCTTTCAAAAATGGTTTTGGATTTATCCCAAATTCTGTTTTAAACCAGATTGATGTTGATCAGACATGATGCTCAACATGACTAGAGGCAAGTAGGGTGGATGAAAAGGAAATAAGGATTTCTTTTTAACACCTCAGTGTGGCAAACTGTTTTCTGTATGCAAGCTCACCATGCAGATCGACCTTTAGTGCAAAAATTTGTTTCCCTGCTGCTGCCAAGATAAAATGGTTTTTCATTAAATATATATCATATGTTAACTTTTTCTTGGCTTTTAAGAGCTTGTTAAAAAAGCAGAGTATAAATCCCTCAGATAATTAACTAAATGGATAGCCATAATGAAGCTATTGCGGTACCTGATATTGTTTCTGGTTGGCTACTTGATTTTGAGTGCATGTTGATGGAGGGTCTGTGTTTATTGAAGAGTGTCAGGCAATAGCTTCCCTTCTTCCTGATATGGTACATTGATTTGTATATGATTGTATACTTATCCGTGGTCCAAAACATACAATGATAGGCTTTTCTGTTTTTAAAGCGAACTTGGCCAGTGTTTTAATCTTAAAAAAAATAAATACCTCCCTCTCTCTGTGTTCAGTTTATGACGTGTGGCTGTTCCAGCTCTGCTACTTTGCTTTGTGCTTCGCACAGTAGCTACAGTGGCTGCGTTAATTAAATAGATATGTCAAAGCAATGAAGCTAGTGCCTGCTGCTATTGGATATAGGCAGTGAGAGTTACAGCAAATGGATCCATACAGATCTATTAGCCATATAACACCAGTGCAGTGTAAAGGGAAAGAAGAAAGGGCAGAAACTGGATGGTGGTTCTCGAAGCTAATCAGTTTTAATGCAAAGCAAAAAGAAAAGGGGTGTGGGAGTGTTTCTCTGGCTGTGGTCATGTAGAAAGGTGAATGGATAGTAATAGCCTAATATGAGGAAATGAGTAGAATATAAATGTTAGGGCTGAGCACAATGCCTCATTTGAGTGCCTTGTTCATAAGCAATAAATTCTGGGAGGCTATTTTGAATTATGGGTAGGGTCAAAATTTGAACATGAGGCTCAAAGCTGCCCTCACATTGCAGTGGCTGGTGACAGATGCTATTACCCCCTTAAAGCTTCTTGGGGGGCTTTTGAAGAAAATAATGGTGGCCTTCAGCCAGCTGCTACAGGGAGGTACTTTGGGGGGCAAAGAAAGAGCCCAAACTTTGGTCCTCTAACCCTTGGGATTTTCTGGGAGGGGTGATTGTTACCTTTCCATGTGCCTCCCTCCCAAATTTGAGCTGATTTTGACTCAGTAGCAATTTTATGGCTCTGAAGAGGGTAATTTGCATTGGAGAATGTTCAGATGCTCTTCAGAGTGATCTAATTTAGCATGTTTATCCTACTTATATATGATAAAAGGTAAAGGACCCCTAACAGTCAAGTCCAGTCGCGAAAGACTCTGGCGTTGCGGCACTCATCTCGCTTTACAGGTCGAGGGAGCCGGTGTTCGTCCGCAGAAGTTTTTCCGGGTCATGTGGCCAGCAGCGCACAGAAACGCTGTTTACCTTCCCGCCGGAGCGGTACCTATTTATCTACTTGCACTTGACGTGCTTTCGAACTGGTAGGTTGGCAGGAGCAGGGACCAAGCGACGGGAGCTCACCCCGTCGCGGGGATTCAAACCGCCGACCTTCTGATCGGCAAGTCCAAGGCTCTGTGGTTTAACCCACAGCGCCACCCGCGTCCCTTATATATGGTAAAAACAGCTAAAAACTTTGAAATCCAGTGTACAGCAGCTGTGCAAAAACCATGCTAGGTTTATCGAAATAATCGAAAGCTAGGGGATTATTAGGGGTGGAAATTTAAATTGTCAGTGTCATAATGCTTCCATACAAATCCCTTGGGTTGGTTGCACTTTGAATACTGTGTACAGTTGTCATTGTCACACCTGAAAAATAATAACGTAGAGCTAGAAATGCTGCAGAAAAGGTCAATCAAAATAGTTAGTGGGGTGGAGAAAGTGGATGGAGAGATGGTTTCCTCCTTTTCTCCTAAACCCCTCAGTGAGTTAGGGACTTCACCTGCAGGCGAAGACAAGCTCTGGCAGATTGAGCAGACGAGACCAACGGTGGGTCCAGTGGTCAAGAAGGCAGTTTCTGCATGTGCTGTAGAGGGAAGTGAGGGGCAGAAGGGGCTCATCAACTTGGGAAAGTAGCCCATCTAGGAGAAGGAAAACTCTGATCCTAAAGTTCTGCTGCCTTGCAGGATATCTTTGGGAGAAGAAAAGGTTAAGGAATAATCCAGAGTAGAGTCCCTAAGGCGGTTGGGTGGGCCTCCTTCTGGCAACTCCTGCAGTCCAACTAGTGCCAAACGTGTTGCTCTGCTTTCCTTTGGACCACATCAG